TTGGTGTTGAGAGCTTGGGAAAAACCTCAACCACCCCGAGAAAAGCAAGGAAGCGCACTGCATCAAAGATAAATACCTAGCCTCCTAAGAACGGTAACCTACAATTCCCCCCACCCTAGAACACTTATGCCTGGATCTAGTGCTTGAGCTTCAAGGCTCCGGCGACGCGAAGCGGGCGGAAGATGAAAATCAACAGCGAGCCATACCTTCCAAGTTTGATGTGCTGACTCCAGCGCAAGGATGGTGGTCCACGGTCTGATTGGGGATTCTATCTGAAGGTTCAAGGTGTCGTTGGGTTCAGTGTCTTTGAATTGAGTCAAGGCTTGGTGCTTGGTGAGTGTATAGTAAGGGTGTGCAGCAACCATCGTCTCGCGTCAAAACTCGTATCAGAGTGGGATTTTCGCAACATGAGGTGAACACGCCGAGAATATCATGGTGCACGACTCACGACGGAACTATGAATGACCGTTTGGCCCGAGACTTCCTGAATGCAGGCAAGGACGGGCCAGATCCATCCCAAACCTGCCACTCCTGTGCAAAACTGCACACCGGCCGTCCTAATAAGGACTGAAGCCCCAAAACGGGCGCCAAATACCAAGCTCTTGCTGGGCCCCCGCACGCTAGCGAGCCAATGTGGTACCGGGCCTCGGGCAGGGATACAAGTTTGTTGCAGTTTTGCATCCGCTGGGGTTTATATAGTCAACTTGCAGAATAGTAAAGTTTAGCTTCACCAAGTGTTTAGAGCAATTCAAGCACACATCGAGATTATTTGCTCTAAGCTGTGCTCCTGCAGCCTAGCATCAACATGCAAAGCAGATCCATTGCGGCACCTGTTTGTTGGCCCTTGCTATGGAAGACCTTCTTGGATAGCAGCACAACAACCAGCAGACAACTAACATCGAGGCAATAGGTAACTTTGCAGTGGCCAGTCATGCACGACTGAACGACAGGGCCCCACTTGCCAACAACCGAAGGACTTGCTGGAATGCCGAACTCAGCACATGATGATGTGCTGAATTGACGGGCTACTTCACTAACGAGTTAACTAACCTGCAGTCTGAAGTTGTGATGTCCAAATCACGGGTGCCAAGGCTCCGTTAACCCGAAACAGTGACAGTTCTTGAGTCAGGGGTCAGACTTCCCCTCAAACCAAGGCGGGGGCGATGTTGAAGTAGGCATCGCAGAGAAGGCCCGACCTGATCGGTGAGGGTTGGAGCGTTTTTGTATTTTATGTCGGGGCCTTGCGTCATCTCCTCGGACCGTAGTGCTACGTGCATGTGGGCTTGGGGGCTTTCATTCAAGGTTTTTGTTGAAGCGATTCGGCTATCGGCCTATCAGCTGGGGTCCAAAAAGACATGCCCATGGGCCAGATGCGACGTGTCTTGTAATTCTTGCAGGTGCTCATAAGCTCATGAACTCGATGGGACTCTGGGCATGTTGATTGAGGCTTTCGGACGCAGGATGGGGTCGCCGGGTGTTAGGTTTTCCTTTTCCAAAGCCCGAAGGGCTTGGGAAGTTACGAGTCCTTCATCGCATCCAGGGAACGCGCGCTACACCACATCCTACTTGAACATCGTAAACCAAAAGGAAACCTTACCTGCTACCGCCATGTGACTACATACAGATGTAAACAAGCACACGGAAACAGTGGAGGCGGAAGACGATGTAATCAGGGCGGTGTGGGACCTACATCCGCAAGCTTGAACCGGAACGCCCCACATCTCAAAACTTCCGACGAGAAGGGCCTGAAACTCCTTGTTGAGCAAAGCGCTCTCACTCTCACTTGGGTCAGAGCCCCTCGAACTCCTTGTCCTGAGAAGGCAGACTGCCAGAACTCCGGCAGTACGGAATCGGGCTTCGTTTTTTTGATCAAGTTCGGGATCGTGAGGGTTTGCAAGGCTCGCTTTCTTGGCGTTGTGCCCGCTGTCGTTTCGGACCTTGGATCTGGCCTTCAACTCCTGCAGGGCCTTCTGTGCAAGTTCTGCAAGTTGGAAGCCGCCGAGCCCAGAGGATGCAGCGTGCAACCGCACGTTACAGATCGAAAAGGACTGAGTCGATGCCTCACTTCGAGCGGCATCAGGCAAGGTGTTAGGACAACAACGATCATGAGATACTGGTACACCACTCTACTTCAAGTCATACACACGGTATGCTGGACCTGGCAGCCAGGTTTAAGTAAAGTATCTACCTGACTCACAATGTGTCCTTTGTGCCCTAGAACCCCGAAAGACCAAGACCCGGAACTGCTCCAGAACATATGGCCTATGGAAATCTTGCTCTTCGACGATCCCAGTGGTACTCCAAGCTCCACGCATCCACCGGCGAGTAGTACCACATCTCCGTCATGTATGCATACACGAAGCAAGACCTGAGAGTCGATCCAAGAACTCAATGGCGAGATCGGGAACTGCACAACAGAATCATCGAAACTGCCTTCCTTGGCGCTATGATGCATCTTCACCAAACAAGGATTCGTGTGGCACATGTTGTAGACCTCTTCGAGGATTCAAGGCCAGGGTTCAAAAGTCTGCGAAGTTGGCTCTACTTCCAAGCTTGGAAGGCTCTTGTACCAAGCTTCGAAGACTGTCTGAAAGCCAGAGGAAATCAACCGGGTAAGCTCACGAAGCTTCAGCTCTCACGGCGGTTTTCGCACGAGCTGATGGGTTCTCAAGCAGTCGCCACTTTTTTCCGAAATCTGACTTCTGCCTCCACTCAGCCCTTGTCTGAAGGGCGAACTTGACACGAGCTCTGGTCGTGCAAAGGCATCAGCAACAAACAAAAGCATCATCAGTCTAACCAAACCAGCAGGGCTAGGAAGGATAATGCTGGTGCTGCTGCGGCTTCGCCTTCGTCGTCGTGTATATCTAAACATAGCCTACAAACAGCTTTTGCAATGTGCGCGTAGTTGTTCTTTCACACTCGCGCGCGGACGTATATGGGCAAGGTCCGCAGACAAACGACGCTTTCACATATGAACCCAGCTGAAGAGCCGCGCAGTATGTTATTGCCTTCGGGAGGCCTGGTATCGGCAGCTGCACGGCCAGAGACGTCGGATATCAATCTGTCAATCCGAGCTACAGACCTACAGTCCACCTGGGGCTGTCTCCGCAAGATTCCCTGTATGCATTAAAACGACTACTTTTAAGGTTTTGGAATCAATCTCCTAGCCCCGGAGATGATCCCAATCTGAATCCCGTGTGGCATAACTGCTTCCAGGAGGCCGAATCCCAGACCAAAATTTGGTCCATCGTACTTCAATGGTAGATGAGTACCACCACAGGAGGCCACGGCCCCTTCGAGAAACACCCGCCGGTCATGAAGCCGAGTTGGTGCCATTCGGCCGGCTCGGCTACAAAAAATCCAGAGCATAGGGGACTCGAGGACAAAAGCCGGCAAACATCCATTAAAGGTTTGAACATGATTCTGGTCTCCGTAAACCTAAACCTCAAACGGCCTCAGCCTGAACCATTGGTTCCCCCTGAAAGGTTTGAGAACTTCGATTTCGGGTGGAAGAAGACAAACTTCCATCAACATCCGTCCCTAGTGATCCACATGGCATCAAAGCTTTTGTGCATGTGGGCTTGGCATTCCCTACGCAGCCAAATCCTTGACATTCAAGAGTCTAGAGCGTCTAAAGCCCCCTAACCCAAAAACCTTAAAACAACCTCTACAGAACCGTTACATGACAGTGCCCTGTACAACCTGGATGGAAGCCTTCTAGAAGCCTTTTGCATCCAGGCCCATTGCGACTGCCGGGTACCCCTGAAGAAACGAAACGGAGGGCCACAAATCTGCAGCACGTTGCACTCACCAAAGACACAAGTCACGATGCCTCGCCCTTATAGAACCCAAAACCCTGAAGCCTCGAGTCCCACTGCTAATGCAGGGTCTCTCCACGAGCTCCTGCTTTGAGATAACTGAAAGGGTGGGTTATAATACAACATACAAAGGTGATATATTAAATATTTTACTGGAAACGATAGTAAGCTATGATATGATATGATATGATACGGTATAGGTTTTTCGGGGGTGCTTGTTTCCAAGACAGACTTGTGAGGTTCATGATGTCAGGGCTCAGGGCTTCCAGGGATTGAGGCTCGTAGTACTCGGCCTACAAGGATTTTTTTGCCTCCCAGCTATAAGAGTTTAGGGTTTAGGGTTGTGAAAGGGTATGACCTATTCCGGCGGTGTAGTGCTGTTTATAGCGGGCAGGGGTTAGGATTGCGGCCGTGGGGCTTGGGGTTCAGGTGTGAGAGAAAACAAATTCATTAAAAAATATACTATACTATACTATAGTAGAATATATTATAATATAATAGGCTGCCTGGGGCTTGGGGTGAGAAACTCGGGCTTGAAGGGCTCGGGGTTGGGAGGTTGCAGAATCAAGCGTGGTCTAGAGTCTGGAGACTGCCAAAGCATAAGTAACAGGATCCCTATACTGGTAAAAGGACCTCTACTTCCCGAATTTTTTAATTGAAGCAACCCCCAGCTCATATCACAAAATGTTCACAAGCCGTCATCTGGGAGAAACACGGATACTACGGGGCTTTCATGCACAGGTAAGTAAGACCAAAAAACAAGTGGAGGGTGGATCCCTCCGACCGCGATCCTGAGGGAGCTCCCTTGAAAAGCACATCGAACACTTTGATTTTTCACCCAGACTTTCGACGATCAAACAAGTATTGTACTTTTTGAATCTGCACAAGCTTTATCGTTCTTTTCTATTTTTCCTGCTGCTACCCTCTTACACCAACCCAAAGGCTTCCTTCGGTGGCTCCCTCCTGGAACGCATACAGGCATAAACCCAGCGGCTGCGCAAAGAAGCTGCAAACCTGCTTCTGAAAACTCGCAGTGGCTGATCGGGACGAAGGGAAGGCTGAGCGAACCGTAGCCATTGACGTCATCTCAGCAGGGAGATCAAATCGTGGCGATGCCCAGTGTACCAGCTGCCCGCTTCAATATACCCTTTAAGCCCGCTATGTAAAGATGCCTTAGATCCCTTAGTCCGGGAGACTCATCTTCTGCCAGCGTTCCAAATCGTCTGGCAGAACAGCCCCCTGGCTCAGAGGTGTAAGAAGCTTGCCGATGTCCTTGCCTGGGCAACACATCCGCTCACATACGCCCACACGTGGTCAATTATGGATTTGGGCTGCGAGGTCTGGAACTCTTCTGGGAACCATACATAGACACAGGTATTTCCACAACATCAGTCGACCGCCAGGGCCACGCCACGCCACTCCCTTTCTGAAGCTGGCCCGAGGTACCCACTGCAGAAACCCTGGCTTCTGAAAGCCGCGGCGATCCACAGCTCTCAGACGGAACCAATAATCCGTGAGACAGTCTTACTCTTCGGAGTACAGGTCGGGACATGGAAACATGAAGCGTGGCTTATGCTTGAAAGGCATATTGTGCCCACCTTCAAAGTGCAGGTTGCTGTGGCTATGCGGAAACATGACGGAGCAAGGGTTTGTCTTAGCTTAGCTCGGGCGGAGGGGGTTCTGGATGTTCCAACCAGGCCCGCTGCTTCCACCCCAGAAGGTGTCGACAAGACGCAGCTTTCCTTGGCGACAAATTTACGACTTCTGAAGTGCGCTGACTTGGGATCGTCCTTCACCGTTGATGTTGCGATGTCCCGTATATGAAACACGGAGACTCCTGAGTAGAATGTCGATAAGTCTCTCGAGCAAAGGAGTCGTTCGGAACCACCAAGGTAAGACATTCACTGGGGTTTCTGGCAGTTTTACATTTAAGAGCCCCCTAAAGCATCACTTTCTCTTCCCCGTTGTTCAGACCCCTATTATCTCACAAGGCTTCTGTGGGATATGGCAAACAATCAAACTCGACACCCTCATCATACTCAACTCCGCGGCGAGATCTCACATGCTGTAACCTTTAGGGCGCTTGAAAACAGATTCTGAGTATGCTGTACATGGTGGTGTGAACACGACTTGACACAGTCCATATCACTGCAAGTCAAACAAGCGACAGAGCCGAACCTGTAAACATGCAAATGAACAAGATGCTACATTCGTCATCCTTAAAGTAAAAGCCCTCAACAACCAAAACAAACAACCCCCTACAGTAAATGCTGAAAAGCCGAGTGTCGGCAGGGCCAGCCCCCCTTGCCGGGGCATTGTGGCGCCAACGGGAAAGATAGATCCGCCTTCCCAGAGCGCGCAATGGCGATAGCACAATTTGTTTTTTGCGGGCTAGTTGCCGAGTCGACATTAAGAGAACTAGAGTTTCGGAGTTCGGGGCTGCCGCCCTAAATTGTGGCAAGATGCCTTCGTGGTATCAGGCAGATTTCTCCTTTCAGAGGTATTGGGCTTTCCAAATTTCACCGCCGAAGGCCATGGAAAATCCTGCGCATGGAACTGAGGCTTAGGGTGTGGTTGTCAGGTTCCGGAGCTTATAAGCTTGAATGGTACATCGTCCTGTGGAAACTGGACATCCTGAAGGGACGCCTGGGTACCGAAGTCGAGGTGTCCCAAGCTAATCAATGTCGGGTTTGTATCAGGGAACCTAACCTGAAGCTCTCATTCATCTTTGAGGTGTGTTGCTGAATCAATCCTTCCTTGTCGATGTTGCGTTTAGCAAGAAGCGGTCTGAATGGTGAACGAAAATATGCGGCTGTAGGGTCTAGATCGTCTGCGGGCAAAGGCGCAAGCACCAAGCACAAAAAAAGAGGCCACAGCCCACAGCCTCGGATGAAGCCCTAAATTACACCATCCCTGGACTACTTCAACCCTTGACCCCAGAATTAAACGGTTTCGGTGCTCACTCTCAGACCTGCCCGGTGAGGCTCTTGGTGCCCTGGTGTAGGAGTCCGGGGTCCCTTAGAGTCATTAGAGTCACAGGGCGTCAAGGATTCACCACTCAACAATCCCCAATCGCTCAACATCCCCAGCAGCTCTATGTAAGAGGTCCTTCTCAAACCCCGAGCTAAAACATCACCCAAAAAGAGCCAACAAAGCCATCCCCGGAGCATTAAAATTACAAAAGGGGCCTGTGCAACTCGGATAAAGTTGTGTGGTAAAGTGCATACTGTTACTCCTTACATACACCATCCCTCGGCGGGCTGTCCAAACACGGCCTTCGGCTTCGGCTGTGGAGACTGTAGGCCTCGACGGGGTTGGGGGTCTATTACTATACTATGGCTGTATAGGGCCGCTACCAGAGTACTCTTCCGAATTTGTCCGACCCTTGTTTGTAGGGCTTGTGACTGGGGGTTTAAGCGTTTAGGGTTGGAGGTTCATCGGGTTGGGGTTTTGGGGTTTGGGGCGACGTGTTCAGAGTTTTTCACTTTACACACCACTCCTCATTCATGGATGTAGGTGTGGATGTCGAGTCTTGAAGGTTTGGTCCTCCGGGCTGTATGCGCTACTCTTCATGACGTAGTGGCCCGATGTGGCTGATTCCAAAGCTGCACAATGAATCTTCATGTCTTCACGGGGTCCAAAACAAGAAGCTCCCCGTCGCCTAAGCGTACGAATGATACCTGCGTATAGGTCAAGAAGACAATAGTACCTACAACGCTGATGTAAGGCACTACCAGTCTTACTGCTTTCATTATACTGCAAGGGAAGCGAGAATCAAAAGTACAAGTTACGACAACGAGGACGACTGACATCTATCGTTGTTGGAAAAGAAACCAGTGTTGTCACCACAACACCAAGCATTTCCATGACTGCATAATGCCGCCGCATTTTTTTGAGACGGAGATGCCTGCAAGTAACTACAAAGCCAAAGCTCGTCGAAATCCAGTAAGCCCAGCAGCCGGAAATCTTAAATCACTATTTCCCAACTCGCAATTTGCATAAAGCCGTCAGCCCAAAGCCCAAGCTCATATCCTTCACAGCAACTTCATCTCCGAAAACTCGGAGGCAACGCGTCAGTCCAGAGAAGCCCTGCAGGTGCCGCAAACTGACTCAAAACCACTGTAAGCCTTTAGTGTTTGTAAATCCCAAATCCCTGAAACTTGAATCTCAAGAAGAGTCTAAGTCCTAAAACCCCCGCTTCAACATCACAAGTCTGAAACTTTAAGAGTCCAACCTGTGAGCCCCGCTATAAAACACTCAAGACATCTCAAAACTAGCCACTGTGTAAACTCTTATATATCACGTGCTTAGGAAGCCCTCGTTTAAAACCCTACAGCCTTACGAACCATCCCCCACCTCCCCCACCAAAAAACAACATGAAAACCTGACTTCCGGCTCAGCGGCGACCCTCGGAGATCAGGTACCAGTCTGGAAGATCGGGCTCGGAGCTCTTCCTGGGTGACAGTTTCCCCCAGAGCTTGGTAGCACTTGGTAGCACTTGGTACACTTCTCGAGTTGTGCGTGTCATCCTGGCGCAGGGGCCATGCTAATCTTCTCTACGATGGTCCCCGAAGGGATTCCCCAGAGTTTAGGGATTTACATTCTCAGGCGGGCTCTATCGGGCGAAGTCGACGTCACACAAAGTAAAGCTCCCTCCTCCCGGACCAGTGGGAAAAGGTAGAGAGCTTAGGGATTTAGGTTTAGGGCTTTGGGGTTACGGTTGAGGACTTCTTTTTGTTGCCACGGGTTTTACTCGAATTGGCCTTTTGCTCCGGGTTTGGGGGTTGATGTAGGGCTTTGGGTATTGGGCTTTGTGGGGGTGTTGAGTTTCGCATTTCCAAGAAATTCAGGCTCGCACATGTCTTAAGGGATTCGGTCTTGAAGCTGTATCAACTTGGACACAGCCGAAAGCGTTAGGGGTCTGGCTGTTGGCAGATTGCGGCTTGGAGGGTCCAAAATTTAAATGGTCAGGGTTTGCGTCGCCTCTGGCATTTCGATCGCGCTGTTCGGATTCACCATGCTTGTTACAGGGGGTGTGGGGTGCCCTAAGCAGGCATGTACATTCCGGGTGTGAAGCCTTAACCTCTGACATAGTGCCGAGTGTCGCGCCTCGGGTGTGTTGAGTGCTTTCTTCTCTAAGCTATGTGGCGAAATGGCTTCGACACAAGATCTCCGGTTAAACAACACCAAACACAAGATCAAACTGTCGTCGTGATCATGGGTCATGAGGAATGCGGTGTTGGATCGGTTTAGACTTTATGATGTTACAGAAAGTTGTTTCAGGATTGCTGTGATTGCAAGCCCTGGTCATGTCAGAAGCTATGTCTGGTCCCTGCAAGGGCAGCATGCGCAAGAAATACGCCTTCTGCTGCCAGCTGAGCCCACTATAGTAGTCTGGTAAAGTCTGGTCGAGTAGAATTGAGAGTACAGCGCAATAGGGTACAGTACCGTATAGTAAAGTATATTTAGTGCAGTATACTATACCCTCAAAGGGCCTTAAAGTTAGGCTTTGGGGATACGTTGGGATTTGGCTTCTGCCAAGACCCGGGAGGATACTTATGTACTCTACCAGCAATTGCTTTTTGCATTTGCCATTACTATTGACATTCTTACTAGTACTATTGCAAATTGCAAATGCTTAGACTTCCAATTGCAAGAGCACAAACAGCCTTATTGTTGTGATGACTTCTGATGACTATGATGATGGTGATGGTGATGATGATGATCATGATTCGTATTATTAGGTATTACCGGGGTTCCTTTAAGGGGTTTATTTTAGTAACAGACCAGCAGCTGACTTCGCCAGGAAGTCGCGGTCGAGGCCATCGAAGCGGAAGTCGGCAGGGCGCCCCTGGCAAAAGGTGGCCATGAGATTAGGATTAAAGAAATTCAGGGTTTTAGGGTTCAGGTTTTTGGGTGGGTCTTAGGCTTCCGGGTTTCGGGTTTTCGGGCTGGGGTCTTGGGGTTCAAAAGCTTAGGGGAGCGAAGCCAGGCCTCCCCAAGTGGCCTCATGCTTGCAATGAGGATGTTTTTTCTTGGCTCGGTTCTTCGCTGTGAGAAGTCTTGCTGCATCTAGTTGCTGATGTAAGATATTGCTACCATCTCATGCTGCTGCTCGTTGTTCTGCACTAGCTGCATTGCTCGCCTACCCGGTCCACCCCCTTCTCCTAAAAACCCACACTCCATGGACGGTGGTTGCTACTACCATCGTTGGACCGTACTAGCAACAGGACGCGTGGTAGCGCTGACCCTGATTTCAACACGTTCCGTGCTAGTAATTAACGAAAGGCTTCCAACCCTGATAGTTTCGGCGTTTCCGTGTCTGACCGCTAGCCAGGTTCGTAAGCTCTCTAAATCAGGTATAAGCCAAACACCACAAACGCCAAGATAACCACAGCTGTCAACAATTTCAACCCTCAATCTTCCGCTGCCGAGACCCCCCTCCCTCGTTGCTTGTTGCCTATGCCTCACCCTGCTCCCTCTCGAGTCCCGCAAAGAATGCAGGGCTGGCGTAGACCGAGCTTTGGGAAGATGCTCGTTGAACCTGAAGAGCTGAGGACTAGGTATGATGAAGGGTTGCCGTGATTGCAGTCAGGCAAACGAAATTTCGGTAACGAGTATGCAGTGACCCTTCCTAAGGTCCTAAGGCCTCGCAAGTACTTTCTTGGCTTCTTTTGGTTTCCTCTTCTTTAGAAACATGCAGGCAAATACAGAAATGTTGACTTGGCATTAATAATCCCCCCCTCAATTAAAAAATCCGTCTCCCGGAACTCAATTATAATACCCCCTCAATAAAAAAATCCCGCTGCCAGAACTCAATAATAAACGCTCTG